CACGCCAACTATCCACAAATTTAGGTGAAAAAGCGCCTCAACAATACGTGGACGCCAGAAAGAGGGAACAGGAAGCACTTGATCCGGTTCCTTCTTTCTCGTGTCCACGTATTTTTGAGACGCTTCTTCACGTCACCGTGTACCAATTACCACTTAGCCATTTTACTACACAATGTTTGTTTCCCCGATATATTTAGCAAGTCATGTGACATCAAGATTTCCGCCAAATGTAGCGGGGAAACTGAATTGATGAATAGTTTACGTGACGTCATGTCACGACCTCTTATGTATCGCCTTTCCCCCCCCCCCCCCCCTTTTTTTCATTTCTTGTGCCAGCCTTACGTAGTTCTACGGACATTTATGCAGCGGAATTCACCTATGCATCGACTAATTTTTTTTAAATTATTTATTTTAGCTTTGACTGCATTTCTTGTTTTCGTTTTTCGCGGCCTTGCCGTTTTTAATGAACACCAGTGCGTCCTGAAATCGGGTTCATCGGCGCGCACAGATCAGGTCTGGAAGAAGCACCCTCGTATCGGCTACGGGCATCTCGAGGCCCTGATTTATGCCGCTGCGTGCTCCATTTAATATTGTCCTCGTCGGGTGCGTCCTACTGTCCTCGCTCTCTGCCGGATCCTCTCCGAGCGCCTCGCGTCTGATGGCCGGTGGACTGCCCGAACCCTTTTGGAGAAGGGCTCGCCCATGGGAGAGGAGGCCCATGTCCGTAGCATAATTAGGCTATCGATTACGAGTTCGGATTATGCGCGCCAGTGTCCCGGTCGGCTCGGTCAATCCGTCATAAGGTTTTGCCGAATTTGCATCTCCTCAAGCGTGCCGCACTCTGCCCAAAGGACAGCTTGCAGCCGGCCGGCGAAGTTCGTTCAGAGCGAGCGAGCGAACTGTCTGAGCCTTTTGTCGACGCTGGGTGAATCACACGACAAACAATGCTGCGATTTTTGCTGTCGGTGCCGAGTGTTTGGAAATGCGCCAGTAGTTAAGAGATGGCTAGTCTCGACTATACACCTTTGCAAGTGGGATCCCTGCTCCCCTCGAACCGCGCGCCCAGGTGAGGCGGACCTACTCTCCAGTTAGGACGTTCGCTGCTTGTCGTACAATGTTGCCAAGCGTCTCTTGCGAAGGACAAGGGTATATTTTAAGAAATACAAGAATAGAAAAACAGAACGAACCTTTATTGTTATTGGAAACGTTTTTACCACGCGCTACGTAACTATTTTCATCCCAGCTAAAATCAACAGGCAAATATAAACTCTTCCAAAGAATGCAAATGGAAGGGACGACCAGAGCCGCATGGCCATTGCATCAAAGATGGCTGTGCTCGAGGCAGCGCTGGCTTCCACCCATCCTACAATATTTGATGCCACGATTGTGTGTAAATACCTCACCTTGCGTTTGAAGCTGTAAGTAAAGTACATAGCTAACGTCGGCCATCGGCGATGCAGGAGACGCCACTATTTTGTTCTCGAACACGTCAACATGGCGAAAACTTTACGTGGCTTCTGGATCACTCACAATGGCAGCGCACAGCAGCCTTTCTTGCAAACGTATATACGTGGCTTGCCCGCGACGTCATCGCACCATACCAGTGGTCGTTCCTACTTCTTCTTGCCCGAGATACAAATCAGGGGGTGGGAGGCGAATTATTGCCGCGCGAGCAGCTGGCCAAGATGGCAGCGCGTGCGTGGCCTAACTGGTATTGTGCCTGCCTTCCACGCGAACAGCCAGGGTTCGATTTCTGGGAGTGACGCGTCTTTTATGTATTATTGGAATTTAGTTTTCTGGTAAATTCGAGAATCCTCTTGGCTTGTTCGCGGCCCGAATGTTCCACGCGCCGAACGTTCTAGGCCGAATGTTCCGGAAAGCCACACGTCTACAAAAGGCGCTCCGCGTGGCAAGCCGAAGTCAGTCTCGCCCCTGCGCTTGATCCTGCGGTTTCGTCGACAGCGACGCCCGCGACGCTCTGCTGTTTTCTTCTGTTCCTTTTTTGGTTTGGGCACAAGTTCGCCCCATTAAACGTTTAGTTTCTTCGGTTATCACCGCCTCATCAATTGTCATTCGTGACAATATATGTTGCGGAAGGTACATTCGCACCAGCAAGGTTCTTCACAATGGCCACTGACGTGACGACAAAGCAAGCTACGTAGAGACCAAGATCCGAAATCCGACCCCCAGCGATAAAAATGAGAAGTAATAATATCAAACGCAGGGCTCTTGTGAAAAGAGTGGCTGCGCATTAAACAAGATGTTTGCTTTTCCCAGCACTCTTGCTACCTGTGTTGTTCTTGGAGCGTCGTGACTAGGCACTTCTGACGTGCGAAGGAAATTAAAAATAAAGTCTTGCAAAAATTGCAACCCTCCTGCTGTGTCATGGCGTCAGCATAAGCAAACATGGCGGCGCCCATAAAACAGAGTAGACACTGGTCTATATGCTGCCCAAAAAATGTACAAGTCCTTTTAAGGTTTTTTTTATAGCAAAAATAAGTACGCGTCTCCGAACGCTCGTTATCCGCCCACAGGTAGAGCTAGCGGTTGAACCGGATGCCAAAGTTTCAGAACTAATCATTATATTACTGCACAATTATGGTTGTCGACGGAGCCCTCGAATACATGGAGCTGAATGGCGCCAGTTACAAAGAACGGGCCCTATTTTCTCATTGAAATTTTTATGAAATCATTTTTAACGTTTGAATAAGATATTGGTTACTTCTAGAACTTTGACATCTGGTTCGGACCGCACTAGGGAACCGCTAGGTGGCGGTCCCGTCGCGCATGTCGAGTTTTATCCGGCCCCTCGGGGGCGACGATATTCATCTTCGCGAAATAATGACCACTGATCAGGACAACAATAAATGTGTGTGCGTACCTTTCGTCAAAATCACCACCGATCAAGACAATAAATGTGTTCGTACATTTGTTCGAAATTCTGTCTCACGTCTGTGTCGTGTGCTATACAGCTTGGACGGTCATCCACCTTAACAGCGAAGAATGGCTCATAATTTCCTTTCTAAGGTTCAGCCTTCGCTCAAATTCAGTTGTATAGATATTAATACCACGAGAGGCTGAATTTACCATAAAATATGCCGCCATCTATTCCCGCTATAAAAAAAAAATTTCGAACTATTCAGTACGTTGGATGTTAATTACCTGGAGTTTCTGGCCCACATTACTCATGGTTGGGTCTATTCAACCAAATTGTTGTGAAGCTTTGCAACGTTAATTTACATGTCACAATCGCTCATACCGCTCACGGATTCGTTGTGTATACCTACCGAGCTTCTCACCAAATTATACGCGCAGAAAGTCACGCCACAATGGAAATTGTTTCTTCGTTTATCGGTGAAGCCGGCTTCGTTGCGCGAGTGCTTAACTCCTCATTTATCAAACGAAAAATCAGTAAATCGATATCTGGGATGCTAGCAGTCAACGCTCACATATTAAGAGGGCATGCTAATACACTGCTTATTAAAGCAAGTGTCTTCAAAGTCTTTTGGGCGCTTTCAAAACTGATTGAATTCTGCTTGTTGGTGAGCGTTTTTTTTTTTTTTTTTTTATTGTCGACTTTCTGAGGGGAGAAGGAAATTCCGCAGGTCGTTTTAGTATAAAATACTATGTACAATAAATATTTTTGTTTGTGTGTCTCCTTGTTCGCAGTTTTCTCATTAATCTGCTAATATGCCGGTCTAGATTGTGCATTCCTTGTGCAGAAATAAATACGTTCTACTTCTTAGCCGCAGCAGCAACTGCGGTAGAGAACCAGTAATACGTTATAATTTGCATTGAAAAACATTCTAACCACTGAAACAACGTAACTCTCCATAATTAAACTATTGCATTCTTTAGTGAGATGAAGACAGTTAAAAACCTAGAAATGACGCTGTAGTCTATATTAACAAAACTAGTTGGAAATCACGCACAGAACAGCATAGCAATATTGAATAAAGGTGACAGCACGATCGAAAGACACTCGTTAAATTAATGCAGAGTTTAATTGCTGAGAAAACTATGCCATTCAACGTAACTTGGCTACCATAGCCAAATATTTGTTAATCATACAGATTTCAAAGAAACCAAAATCGCGACGGTGGCCTTCAAGTTATGTAATACTAAAACGAAGTTTTCCTTACGCCCCAAAAAGAAGTTTGTTCCACAAGCTCGATATTCACTGGGTGCTAGAAAGCAACTATGTGAACTATAAACCACGAAAGACCGGAACTTAATAGAACGTATACTGCTGACGATGGGAGTTGGAACAAGTTCAGAGACTGTATTCCCCCTAGTGACCTCACAGTCTAGTTACAATAGATGGTACACGAATTTGCAGACAACTCTTGGCGAGCGAGACTTGACGTTGGGTTTGTTACATTCATGAGGCTCGTTGCAAAGAGTTCCTGTGTGTCTAATCGTTTTATACCTAAACGTCGTGGGGCAGCTCCAGCGAGGACACTTAGCGAAAATTGCCTTCCAGGCAACAGTCATAACGTACACAAGCTTTAAGGACGTGAATGTTTTATTATCAGAGTGGGTTTTTAATTTGCAAATGTATAAACCTGACCGCCACTCAAGGAGAGAGCGATGCGTAGGGTTGTTCTTAAGCGTAAATTGTTATGAAATCGCCTACGCTTAATCGTAGTCCTTCTTGATTATTAAGAACTTTCGCACGTGGCCAACCAAATTTCTCGACCATCTGGGTGTTATATTCTGCAAAACCCCCAAACTTCAGCCAACATCAAGAACCGCTCACAAAAGGTAACCAGTTAAAATCTTAACTCATGTCTTATATACTACATGCCCTTGTCTTATTCGTTCGTGCTCGTTGAGACTTACCATTAATATGCTATCTCCATCTAACCAAGTATCGGTCATAACGAAACCCTCGCATGTCCAGCGGAACGCTAAGCTGCGAAATTTCGGTCGGCTGTTGACCCGCGATTCTTAAAGAATAAAACGAAAAGCGGGCTTCCGCCGGGGGAAGTTGTATTTACCTCCTTTGACCATGCAGATGAGAGTGAGTCGGCTGCTCTCGTTGTAGGGCCCGATGACTCCCATGAGGATGTTGCCTTGGCCGTCCGTGATCATAGGGGGCTCCGGTGGAACTGCCGGCAAGCCATCCCCCATCCACACCCCACATTAACAGCGGCGAAGGCTCAAATGAGCCGGAAAATAACCTGCTAGCGTAGTCGGCAGTCGCAATTCTCCCTGAGAGTGCGTTCACTGGCCTATTTGGGGCCGTTGGTGAGCCCGTTTTCTATATTTAATTGAATTCGTAAAAGTCTCTCGCACGGTGACCGTCACGCCAGGCAGCTCGACTTATTAGTGGTGACGTTGGTGTGGCAAGAGTAGTGACCGCAAATTGCAGCGGTGGTTGAACTGATGCAACACTAACCACAAACGGGGTCTAAGGCCTTCGCGGTTCCTGATAAATTTCTACCCGTCACATTCATCACTCTCAAGCTCAAGTTCAGCAAAGGGACGTTTAAAGAGGGGATGCAACTATCTTTGTACTTTTCGCGAATACCGCTTAGGACGGATTCCTGACGTTAATGACCTGTGAAACACCCGTTCGCTTTTCACCACACAGAATCGAAATCGCAAAACAAAAAAACATAAAAAAAAAAAAAAAAACGAGCAGCGTTCCCACTCTCAGTTCGCAGCAAGAACAACCGGCCACGTGATCTGGAACCGATTATATGCCGCCAATGTTGATCATAGTCACGCGCTCGAGTTGGCAAGGCACAAGACACGCAGAGAGTTCCAGACATTGATATGGTTCGGCTATTGTCGTCATTGAAGCGATTGGACACGGCAGCCACTACCCGAATGCTTCTCGAGCTATCGATTATCTCGAGCCCAAATCCAGTGCCCACGCAATGCTCATGTCCAATCTATGACCCACATTCAAATATCATCACTGGGCGATACTGCGACCGCCAAGCTACGTCATTAGGTTTTGCGAAGGAGAGATTGAATGAAAACGCTCGCTTTTATCCTTGAAATTACACCGCAACAAAGGAGTTTCTTGGCCAGTGGCGTTGCGGACGAGTATCCTTGAGTCCCTCTAGAGCCAGTAAGCTTGTGTAGAGTACAAAACATTCCAATTAAATATCGTTGCACCACCTCTTTAATTATTTTCATTTCAGAGCGCGTGCTTGCTGATCGCATTAAGAAAATGTAAGAAAAATTCATTTGTGTGCAAAACCTTGCTCGGATTTCCAGAATGTTGTTTCCTCCCTCGCATAGTGCTAATCGAGCATTCTAATCACGATACCACCAACATAGAAACCCTTTTTGTGCCGTAAGACCTGTTTTTGTCCACTAGCAACAGATCATCGAACGCTTTCGAGGTGCCAGAAGTAGCCGCAAGTTCATTACTTGAAGGTACCAGCGTAAGCGACAACTCAAACACTCAGACCACACGCATATCGTCAAAAAGAAACCTCTTTCATCGCGCTGTTTATGACGGTGTGCTGTGATCTGAGTGTGTGAGTCATATTTTGCGCTGGTACCTTTAAGTCATGAATAGCCTAGAATAGCCAACTCGCCCATGCCTCCGCTTAGTAGCCGCGAGTTCCTGTAATAAGAAAATTTACGGAAACCGGATCATGCTGACAAAAACTGGCGAGCACAAATTGTGTTGAGCCCAAACCACATACTGCCACACAGCACTCTCGTCAAACGAGGCACTTTTTTATGGTATACATGTTAAGTAGAGACACCAGTTAGAGGCACCTTTCCACGGAATGTGACTAAAAGCTTGCCCTCCACAAGAGCTGCGCTTCGCGCAGCTGTTCCTCTTGCACCTGCTCTTTACGCAGTCGCTCGTCGAACACCCGCGCCGCTTAGTTCAATTTGTGTAATATCCTGTTAACAATCACTTTATCGCGGGTTCGATTCCTCTGAGGTATTCTTCTTGCGTTCTTTTTAAATGGACTCCATAGGGTTGAGTACTTCCTCTATTACTTTAGACTTGGTGTTGCACTAGAACATAATGAAAGAAGGTTTGGATTTTCTCATTAAAGGTTGGCTAGTAAAACGCATGCTACTTTGATAAGCTTATAAATTGTGAACTTTACTAAATAGCACGAAACTTTCTGCTCTAATCGGGGTTCAACTCAAGTATTTCTGGGAAAGATCAAATCTCCACGTCCCTAAATCTAGACTTACCGACGACTTGTAGAAAGACCGTGCCGTTGCGTTCAGTGCCATCCCTGAAGGACACCGAGCAAATGTAGGTGCCCATATCTCCGTACCGAAGGTTAATGAGCTTGAGCGTGTAAGGGTAGCCCATCAAGGAAAAGTAGGCCCGGCCTTGCCATTCCTGTTTGGACCAACGAACCACCTGGGCAAGAATTGTCGGGAAAAACCCATTACCAGTCACACTCCCCGAAAACCAGAGCGGGCATCCAAATAGTCACTTTACGGTTTATGAAGTGGCCTGCTGGTCTTCTCTTCATGTTTGAAGTTTTGTTGTGCGGCTTTTCAAACATGCTATGCATGCATACGTCAGCCTTACTGCTGTTCCTTATTCAGTGCAAGAAGAAATACGTGTGTGTTTGCATTCCTATAGATTACAATGCAGAGCAGTCAAATGCTCTGGGCAATAAAAGTTCAAAAACTGATCATGTCTGCTGGACTTGAATTCCACGGTGAACGCGTACTCTGCTTGTTCAAATGTTTATATGCACTGAAGGCGTTTCTGATTCGTGCTTACGCACAATGGCCAGATCAGACAGACAACGGATACACAGTATAACATATCAAAGTCTAGAAGTACGAGCTCTTAACTTCGGAAAATGCTTCCACCTTAAAACTCAGGCCGAAAAACTTTCAAGGTATCTGACCTTGCACACGTAGCCCCGAATTTGCTTTAAGCCCGTGGTTTCATTCTCCAACGCTGCAGGCGTGGCAGTACCCTTGCGCGTCCAATAGGTGGTCCGCAGTTTGCCTATTAGAACGAGCTGTAGATAGAGTGACATCTTCACATTCAAGGGTCCTAGAAAAGGCTGTCATGATGCCGCTTCTTCTGCCAGTGAGTTTATAGTGAAGACTCCCTCAAACAAAAGAGCCTGCGTCAGCTGCTTCTGTATACTTGTCAAAAAAAGGGCCATAAAACGATTTTCGAACTTGCCTTAGATTTTTTTTATAAGCAATGGAATTAGGCAAATAAATTTGAGAAATATGAGCATCGTGCATCCCCTCAACCCGGAGCCGGAACAAGTGGCCACGTGGCCTAGGGTGCCTACATGTCTGTCTGTCTCAGGGTGAAGACATCCATTGTTGTCCGGAATGTGCCAGCGCGTGACGCTCTTGCGCACTCGGTGCGTGACTTGGGCGGTAAGATGGCGTCTATGCATCAACCAAAGCTACGCGCTCGAGCTGAGTGACACCGGATTGCGCGCACTTCAAAATGCATAAAAAAACGATTGGGCGGAAAAATGGCTGAGATGTCACCACTCAAGCAAAAGCGCGCGTGTGCATGAAGGCACTCTAACGTGGCCTGGTGCCTATCCTATACCGCCAACGTCAATCATATAGCCACGCGCTGGGGTCGGCAAAGCAGACACCGCGTGCTGAGCTCCAGGCACTGTTAGAGTTTGGCTATTCGGCTCTTTCATGTTATACCACAGTGCTTGGACACGAGCCACTACCCGTGTGTCCGCCGAGGTATTGTCGGTTACGAGCCGAGGTCGAGTCCTCACACAGTTCTCGTGTCCAAACCTGGAGCCGCGCTCGAGGCGCGGTTCATGGAAGAAATAATCCCCTTTTATTCTCGCAATTTCGCCGCAACCAAGGAAATTCTGAATCAGTGGTGGTCCGTGCGAGTATACTTGGGCCAGGCTAAGTCCAGTGCGTTTCTGTAAGGTCATGAACATTCTAACCCGATATCGTTTCATGACGCCTTTAAGGCGTCGCTACTGTGCATGCATTCTTCGTCACTAACCAGCAAAAGACGAGAATGTTTAAAAGCAGCCTGTCCAAAAATGAGTGCAAGGAGGTTTTTTGGTTTGGTTTTGAATCAATAGACACCCTTGTATTAATTCTGTCTCTTTCATTTGTTTTTTTTTTTTTTTTTTTTTACATTTAGGTCGACTTGCACTCCAGCGTGTAGACGAAAAAATAAAGATTGTGTCGCCGCATAATGCTCGCGTCAGCAAATACTGCAGGGGTAAAGCCTGATTCACGTTGTGTGATACTGCTTGCAATTTTTGTTGTAACGTAAAATCACGCGGCTTGCATTTCCGGTTTTTTGTTTCGTGTTTGTCGCACGAACAATGTCGCCATGTGGAAATCACGAGCAACAAAATCGACATGTGAACCAGGCATAAAAGAAAACTCACCTGGTTGAGGTTCGTTCGCTCGTTCGGGTAGGGCGACTGTTGCGCCCCAAAGTCGACCTTGTAGATAGGGTCCCGACCGAGCAGAAAGTGCGGCTCGTGAAACCAGCGCACTTGCTTCACGTTGTGCGTACCGTTGAACAAGGGGTTCCTCGTCACGCACGGCAGCTCCGTCTGGTGACCCTCGTTTACCGAGATGCTCGTCCTCTCCTCTGCGCGCCAAGGCCCCGAGAAGAAAGAAATAAAAATATTAAATCGCTTACATAAAAAAAATATCTTGACACAAGAAAGCCAAAACTCAACATATACAGTGCTCGCTGATGCGCCAAGTTCAACATTTTAACATCCTTATTTTGTCGGCGGTAGCCGCCTGCCTCATTTGTAAGATTCTGCTTCTTTACACATACAGTATATTAGAACAATTATAGCACTTCCATAATTTCGCACTCTAAGAAATGCCTTCGCGTCTACTTACCCTCAAAACACTAGAAAAGCCAATCTTTGCGATCTACCAAATCAACTCAGCGAATGGTGGGGCGGAACATCTGCTGAGATCCAAAACGAAATCTGGGCTGTGGCATTACACTCTAAAAAAAGTATGTGCGTCTACTTTCACGCACAACACTCGGAGAGCCAATCAGCGCAACTTACGGAGGCAGCTCAGCGAATGACGATGCCGAAACATCTGTTTAGACAAAAAACGCAGACTGAGTTGTGACATTAAGCAATGCAAGCGTGACGTTTTGCATTGCTTAATGTCACAACTCAGACTGCGTTTTTTGGTCTAAACATATGTTTCGGCATCGTCATTCGCTGAGCTGCCTCCGTAAGTTGCGCTGATTGGCTCTCCGAGTGTTGTGCGCGAAAGTAGACGCACAGACGTTTTTTAGAATGTACGCAATGCAAGCCTGACGCTTTGCATTGCGCGATGCCACACCACAGACTTCATTCTTAGTTCTAAACGATTGTTCTGCCTTATCCCTCGCTGAGCTGATTTCGTAGATCACAAACATTGGCTCTTTGAGTGTTTTGCGGGTACGTATGCGCGCACGTATTTCTTTGAGAGTAGGCAGCCTAAAAAAGGCAGGTGACGTGGCAAGCATATCATTATAACTCAGCGGCCAATTAGATTGCGGCGTTAGCCGATAAGAACTCCCAAGAGCCAATCACGATGCAAGGAGTGTGAAAGCCGAAGCCCTGCGTTTCTTCAATTGTCATTGACTTTAGTTAGTAAAAATTCCAATTAGAAGGATGAATGGTGAGCTGTCCTAGTTCTAGCCCCCGAGTTTACAAACATGCTGTGTAACGTTTATCGGTTACGACGGAAAACCTTTGCGCGGTTCTGAACATCCAGGGATTTACTGCATACGGCCTGTGCTTCAAACCCCCCCAACCCCCCCCCCCCACCTTTTTATTTTTTTTTTTTTTTTTTTTTTGCCATTCTTTACTATTTTAGCGCGAGTGATTCTAACTCTACGATCCGTACTTTGAATTCAGTTCCGAGCCATGTTGCGATCGCTGCACAGCAAATTAGATTTTTGCATTATCCGATAACGACTCCGAAGAACGACCATCGGAACAAGACGCCCGAGCATAGTCAGAAACGCCCTGCGTGTCTTAGACTCTCAGAGAAAATAAATAATGTTACAGAATATCTTCTTTTTTTTCTTTTTTTTTTAGTTTTTACAATTTGCTTTGCGGACGGGCATCTTGGAACAAATTGCCATAGTCACGAAAGCAGGACTAATCGTGTAAAGAAGAGACTAAAACTGCACAATTTTTGCATTTTTGTTAAAAATACTATAGTCATGGTTCCCATGTTTTTTTTTTAATAGTTCGCTTGAGAGGGCAGTAATGTAGGTACATTATTTTATCTTCAGTTTTATTTTTTAGCTGTGGTAACTCATAAAAGAACCGGAAGATCACGTATGATATAACATGAATCATCATGACCCAAAATACGCACACACATACACGATTTCTTTTCTTCGTCTGGGTAAAGTGGAGCGAAGAATGCGTCTGTCCTTGAGTTTTTTTTCTTTTCCCCAATAGGGACAAAATTACCAATACGAACAAGATAACTAAGAAGAAAATGAAATTCTATCAAGGAAATCAAAGCATGTATGATGTGGATTTAAGAGCGTAAAAAAATAATACCGGGCGTCCGCCAGAAAACCGAACCTTGTTTTAAGCACCGCAGAAATAAACTAGACATCGTGGGGAGCTCAAAATCCGTCAGAACCTAGCCCCAGCCGTCCAAGCAAAATGCCCAAGTTTTAACACCAGCCGTTAAACTATTCAAAAGTTATAAGCGACTTCCTGAAAATTTCAATGGAAAAATGGCATCCGACGGAGCTCTCAAATCCTTGGAACTCTATGGCGCCAAAAACCGAAAACGAGTAAAAATTGGCCTCATTTTCGCGTTGGAAATTTTAGAAAACCGCTTATAACTTTTGAATAAGATTACGGTTAGTGCTGAAACTTTGGCATCTTGCTCGAACGGCCGGGGCTACGTTCTAACGGAGTTTGAGCTCTCCTCGATGTCTGGTCAAATTTCGCAGTGCGACAAAACTGTTCGGTTTTCTTGCGGACGCCCGGTATATGCGTTTGAAGTGATGCTTATTAAAAATACTGATGTTTACAACCCGAGACTGTGGTGATGTAAAAAATCGAAAACTTTGAATTCAAAGAAAAGGACACATGAGAAGACGTCCCAATTTTCCATCACCACATGTAGTCTCGGTTATTTAAACATAATGATTAACTATCACCAGCTGGCCTGCGTACTCACAGACTTTTTACTAAAAATACATTGGCAGTAGCTTCAGCTTTGACAATATCTAGTCTCAACCTTAATCAGTCACTGAAGACACAAGCAACAAATAAAGAAAGTTGTCATACAAAATAAATTATCACTCTAGGTCCTCCCCTTACGAAGATGTTCACATCAATAGTAAAATAAAGTTTTGTTTTACCTCTATTAAACCTTTTTTTGTATGTGATCTTATATAAGTGATAGTAAATCAATAGTAAAATAAAGTTTTGTTTTACCTCTATTAAACGTTGTTTTTTTTTTTTGTATATGGTTTTATATAACTGATAGAACTTATATAACTTTTAGAGCTCATATAACTTAGAGAACTTGCATAATTAATATTACTTATATAACTTATGGAATTTACAGAGCTCATAGAGCTTATAAAACGATGTATTATTTTCTTCTATCCCCATGGCAATAAAAACCAACTCCACAAGGTATGCGAAAATTTATTTAGCCTTATTTAGTGTCTCTCTAATTTCACAACTTTAATCATTAGCTCTGACACTGCATGGTTACTCAGTCAAAATGCCTGACGTCATTCACCAAGATTCCACTTGAAATCTGACCTGGCTACGTGCCGCTAAAGATATTTTTTCCCTTTTTTTTTTTTTTGTTAACCGCAGTTTAATTTTAAATAAAAAAATATTAAGCTCGAAAGGCACAATGAGTAAAGAAATACAGCAAGAAAAAACAAAAACAAAAAAAAAGCGAAAACACAGAGTTTGCAGGACCAAATGCGTAACCCAATTTCTTTTTTTTTTTTTTTCCTTTTTTTCATGACAACAGTTTTGGTTTTGCCGCTTGGCTCGGGTTTATTGAG